GTTCTGGTATTTTCGGATAGAGTAGCGGGCCTACTGTGCTCTTAAAGGTAGGTATGTTGTGTAGAGGTACTGGAGGATTGGGCGTTGGTCGTTAAACTCTTTATAGAGCTTGGTCTAGGCTTTCTTAAAAGCGTGCTTAGTCTTAGCAAAAACAACAAGCTTCCACATCATAAGGACCCTACGATACGTATGAGGGGGGGCTTATTAATAGATGTGTTGATATAGGCCTCATCCTTATCACTTAGCGTGGCTATTGCTTGTATTGGTAGCTGATATCCCTCGTTATTAGACCTACTGTTGTTACTGCTATAGCTGCGGTCCTTAACCCACTTCTGCTTAGCCCTGAGCATAACGTTAGAATTGATGTGGTGGATGTAGAGTTGTTGCTGAACGTCTGGGAACTGCTCATTCAGTGCAGCCTTCATCTGCTTGTCGTAGTCTGTAATAATAACAGTGGGGTAACGGACTGAGTGTTGGTCCATGAGTTGGCGGATCCCTGCTGAGAGAAACTGGAAACCCTCTAGTCTCTCGTTGTCGATAAGGCCAAACGCAGCGTTGTAAACAGATCCAAGTGTTACGGCCAGCTAGTCGTAGGGGTAGTTTGCAGAAGTTGAGGCTGCGGAACTGGTAACAGTAATCGTAGTGGGGGATAGCTTCAGGGAAGCTATGTCTGTCAATCGTAAGGGTCTGTAAGGCTTCGGTGATCAACCGTAGTCTTGTCAAGGTAGTAGCTGAAAGCGGATGTTAATCCTGATACGAAGTTAATTGCTGAAGAGCTATGGAAAGTCTGTCCTAGAGTCCGGCTCGAGTCCATCCTATATACAAGTCCTGGTCCTGAACATATCCCTTGTCAATGATCAGTTCCTCTGATCGGGTGAGCGCTCATTGTTTCTGTTGGGCAGCGATTATCAGGTAGGGGGTCAATGGGATGTATTGATGAGTATGAAGAACGAGTGGCTATGGGAATATCCCGACTATCTATATAGTGAGTGGAAGACCCTTTATACTGGCATATCCTTGGCAAACTTAGTCATGCTTGTGTAAGACCATATTGTTTCATAGGCATAGTGTGACAATCGTTGTAACGAGTGTACTGGGATGGGCCTGACAGTTTCGCATGAGCGCTCATGGCCCCACCATGGTCGCTCATGGCTTATCTTATCATCACGTGACTTGTACCATAGTTCTTCCGTTCCGTGAGAGGGTGCCTAGTGTCCCTTGTCTCCTGCATATGTGGTGTGTTGTAACCGCCGCGAGCCTGCGGGGCAGGCCCTGTTCTTGGTCATGCAAATTGGGTCGTAACAACTAGATATATTATAAATATACCGTTACGAAGGTTATATTGCCGTATATAATCAAGCTCGACATGCCGGGTGCTATATATTTACGATTCTATATCGACGTACTAAAGTATACTAGCGATAACCTTTTATTTAAATAAGCGATAGACGATAGCCCGCTGCCTCTAGTCCTAGATAATAAAGGTAAAGAGGTTTAGGTACTCGAGAGTATTAATATAGCTACCTAGAAGCGTCGAGGACAATAGCGCTAATAAAGTGTTACGACCCAACATGCATGACCAAGACCAGGGCCTGCCCCGCAGGCTTACGGCGGCTACGACACGCCATATGTGCAGACACAGGAGTCACCCCAACGGAACGGAAGAACTATGGACAAGTCATGTGATGATAAGAAAGGACCGACAGACGATAAGCGGTCCATGATATGGACCGACAGGATAAAGGCGGTCCACCCCTGTAGGACCGACAACACGATGTCGGTCCCAACCACAAAGGAACTGTTCAGATAGTACACGGGACTTGTATATAAGGATGGTGTCGCAAAAACGACGCCGTTAATTGCGGGCAGCAATTAACGCCATATATACCCTACGACACACCCCCTCAGATCCTAGCCCTGTGGAAGGGTAGGGGTCTGTACGCTTTTACCCGTGGCCGCTCTGGGCTTGTTGGGTGGCACTTGGGCTCTTTTAGACCTGATTAGGCGGCAAAACTGCCTACCCGAGCGGGAATTGAAGCTGAGGCTTTAGATGTGGGTACGCGTCAAAGCTACACTTTAGACGGTTGTGCTACCGGTAGAACACTGGGCTCATAACTGTCGCAAAAACGACGCCGTTAATTGCGGGCAGCAATTAACGCCATATATACCCTACGACAGATGGACTCTAGCTGGGCTCTAGGACAGACTTTCCATAGCTCTTCAGCAATTAACTTCGTATCAGGATTAACATCCGCTTTCAGCTACTACCTTGACAAGACTACGATTGATCACCGAAGCCTTACCTTATCTTACGATTGACAGACATAGCTTCCCTGAAGCTATCCCCCACTACGATTACTGTTACCAGTTCCGCAGCCTCAATTTCTGCAAACTACCCCTACGACTAGCTGGCCGTAACATATATGCGAACCCTTATAATTCCTCCTTTTCCTCCTCATCTTAGAATAGTCAATCGACGGCACCTCTACGTTGAACAAGCCTAGAGGTCAGCTCCTTACATGATAGACTCGAGCCGGGCTCTAAGATAGACTTTTTATAGCTTCTTCAGTAATTAACTTCGTATTAGATATTATAATCGCTTTTAACTATCTTCCCTAAGAACCTCTTTAATAAGACTATAATTAATTACCGAAGCCTTACCTACCTTACGACGTACAGATACAACCTACTTAAGACTACTCAACGAAGTATAATAATCATCCGATTATTATATCCAATTATTACTATTATCAGTCCCATAGCCTCAAATTCTGCAAATATACTGTTACGAGCAGGACAAGGCAACCAACTGTGGCACAAAGCAAAAGCTTCGATAATGATGACTCCGGCATCATTGTCCCTTATTCTGCATTATATAGCTACGCGCCCACAGTGACAAGTTGCGGCGGGCGTAACATATACCTCACTACGACTAGCTGGCCGTAACATTTCCTTACTCCTTCTCCTTCCTTGAAGGCTTTACACCTTTCTCCTCAATACTCTCTTATTTTATTTCTATTTAATTATATATAAGAACTATAGCTAAACCCTTATGAGCGTACGTTTGCCCAGAACTTGCGTCGCTTTTCTTATGCACTGTTTTCTAGAGAATGAGTTCCCTCTTGGACCTCGACGTCTGTGATACACGTCACAAATAATACAGTTCACTAATAACACCCCCTTCCCAGGGGGATAAGGGAGCCCCGATACACCAGACATTCACTCAACCCATAATTGAGACGATTCCCTGGTTTGACTTCTAGTCGTACTCATATCGTCGGAGAGATTCTCAAGCCATCAAGCTGTTACGGGCTGGACCCGATTAGTGGATCCCGGCTAAGGCCCGGATTCTGCCACGACTTACCGCGCCGATTCTGCAAGGGTCCTACTTGAACGTTTTTCCTCTGCAGAATCCCCACTCCAAATCTCTCCTCTTCAGCTTAGATTCTATATACCGAAATCACCCCTACGTGGCCTCACGAGGGCTGGGCTCTTAATACAAGCTATCTATTGCCTGCTCATGAAGATCCTGATTGGAGAAGGTGTCCTGTGAGATTAGAGGAGACGAAATACCTGTGATTATATTTTTTGATATAGATCGAGGTTATCTTTGGCACTTCGATAACAAGAGTTGATATCCAGTGCGGGAAGCAGGTAATTAGCCAGCAGACTCGTAGAATCATTGCAGGCCGAAGAAAGACTCCGTCAACAGTCCACTGTTGGCAGAAAGAATTGAGCCTTAGGAATTGGCCGAAACCCTAAGGTTGGCAATGGTTGTTTCATCGCTGTTGCGAAAGAGATGATCGATTCCGACTGTAGACTTTCACGAGGTTAAAGGCCGGACTACGGAGGTTGCATGAAGTTGTCGTGCAATGGGGGTGACGGGTTACCAATAGCAGATGCGGGCATCCGGCCGCGGTGGGGCATAACCCCGGTATGGATAGGAGCTCGCGATATCGAATCAGTGAATTGTTTGCTGCTCGCCAAGGTCAATAAATGAGCCAAAGTCGCTAGTCTATCCGTGTCATCCCACCAATTGGCAGCGGCCGTGTTACAACCAACTGAGCTTTGCACTCATGATACGCTCTTTGGGGATATTTCTCCTTGCCAACGACAGAGCCATGTTGCCCCGCAGCTGTGCCGCAACGATTGCTAAGCGAGACAGGCTGATGGGATCGACAAGGTCGTATTTAAAGAGGCCACGTTCCACATGATCGGGAGCGATTCAGTGAGGGGTTGATCTTGACTTTGGAAAATCACCGTTCACTCGAGCTTTGACTAGTGCTGTATAGATTCCCAGTCGCTCATGAGTCAGGACTTCTTAGAAGCGCCGAAAGCCACCGAATCCTGATATTTTGGTAGTACCAAAATCATGCAGGAGCCTCAGAATGTAAGGAGAATGAAACGACAAATATTATTTGGGGAATCATTACTGGGGCTGTATACTGACGAGATTTCGGAGGAGTAGCCAGTCACACCAGCGGATGACCCGAGTTCGGAATATGGTTCGGAATATGGAGATGAGGTAAGTCTCGCAGTTGCGTTGCATTGACAATGATTCAGGGGCTAATCATTGTTCGCTATCTCTGTTAGTATTCCGAACATTCGTCACTAGCCTCTCTGAGATCGAGTATCCTCGACCACCAAGCTGAGAATGGACGGACGTATCATTCCATGAGCTCCGGAAGTAGGTATCCACTGTATCATCGAAGTTACTCAAGAGTATAGACTGACACTTTGAACAGAATATAGTTTTCCCAACGATGAGGTGAGCAGCGGTTTGACCCTGGACCTTTTGCTGTTCTAACACAATTTGGCTGCAGCCAGAGAGTGACCGTCTCGGTAAGCGGCTGCTTTGTCTTTGTGGCTTTAAATGCGAACCGTTCGAGGGTGACTAACCAGTGATGACGGTAGATCTGCAACATCGAATCTGGCTGCTGCTGCTCAAAGAACAGTTAGCTCTGTCCCCTGCGCATAGGACCGCGAAACGGGTGTTGGACATGGGAACGGGAACGGGAATCTGGGCCATTGATTTCGGTAGGTTGGGCGCGCTTATTCAGTGAAATCGCGGTTCCCGGTTTCAAACTACTGACACGCATCTTCAGCGGATAAATTTCCGCATGCAGAGGTACGAGAACAAACTTTCGACGCAAATGGAGGATGTATTTTGACACTGGACAGGTTATTGGTGTCGACTTGAGCCCGATTCAACCTGAGTGGTGCGACTAACGTTCTTAAAAACAATTACGATAGCAATTTGCTGATCATCAGCGTAGGGCGCCTCCGAACTGCGTTTTCGAGGTTGACGATCTGGAAATGCCATGGACCTGGACTGAGCCCTTTGACTTCATCTACTGCAGAAGCATGGATGGCGCACTCGCAAATAAGGAAAGGATGATTAAGAAAATCTACAAGTAAGACAACACTCACTACCCAACGAACCGGTGTTTGCACTTTTGCTCAACATCGCACCTTTCTTATGTATTAGTGGCTTGACTCCAGGAGGTCATCTTGAAGTCGCTGGACTCGAATTGCCACCTGGTTGCGACGACGATTCGGTCCCAAAGGACTCTGACTTGTGGAAGTGGCACAAGCTGCTGCAAGAAGCCGCGATAAAGATCGGGCGGCCGCTGGAGAGTCTGGCCCACAATAAGGCGGACCTGGAGGAGGCCGGCTTCATCAACATCGTCCGTAAAGACTACAAGCTGCCTCTCAACACCTGGCCCCAAGATCCCCATCTGAAGAATTTAGGGCAGTGGCAGTTTGTCAACCTCAACATGGGCCTCGAGGGACTGTCTCTCGCCCTTCTCACCCGTGTGCTGGAATGGTCCAGGGAAGAAGTTCTCGCTCTGTGTGCGGGCGTTCGGAGGGATTTGAAGGACAAGAGGATGCACGCTTACTGGAAGATGTAAGTTTCCGCCTCGACTTTTCGCCATCGGTTGTTCATGCTAATAATCTCAGTCACGTTGTTTATGCGCAAAAGCCCGAGGATGCTCCCGATTCTGAACACTCCTCGGAAGATTGATGGGGGTGGGAGCAATTTGAGGCCAAACAGGAGATTATTCAGATTAGTGCATTCAGATTAGTACATAAAACCTTCGTCAATGTTATGATCAGAGCTTGGCTATATATGGCCCGTCATTCCACCCTGCTGGCGAGAGGCATCCGCCCGTTTGACCCGAAATGTGGATGAAAATACTTGGACTCCATGCTTGCATAATTCCACCATAGCTCTGTGACCCATTCGATCGAAGACGTGTCGTCAAAACTAACTAGATACTACATCCCACCGGTACCCGGCATCCGGACGAGAGAAGACAGCCGCACCCGTCCCCGAACAGCGGCATCAAAGGTAGATCGGCGCGGTGCGCGGTAGGGCCGATACCCACATTCCGGCAGTGACCCGACGTGTGGAGGCACTATCCGTAGGGTAAACTTAAAGCGGGCTTGGCAACCTTTACCTTAAGCTAAGCCTCGGGTTCGGGTTAGTCGGTGTTACGACAGGGATAGGAGGCCGTCTCCCGTCCCCGCAGAGCTCTCTATCTGATCCCAACCCCGAACTTCCCCTTTTGCACACGCACACTTACGCGTCTCACTGGCTGAAGGGCTCGCATCAGCCCCATAAGAGAGAGATCTTTTTTGCCTCTGTTCTCCATCGTGACTGGGGCCGCACAGGATTTTCTTAACTGTTTCCACCATACCATCCAGACAGCCAGCCAGCCAGCCAAGCCCAGGCCAAGCCAAGCCCGCCCAAAACGACCTTTCGTCTCTACTCCGTAATCCATTTGCCTTTACCTTTTACTCCGTATCCCCGTCTCTATCCGTACCTTATTCTTTCTCCTCGCTCTGGCCCCGTTCTGACTGATTTCTTGTTCATCTGAGCTCAGCTAGTGCCAAGGTATCCGCGTATTGCCAACCAAACACACACACACATACACGCGCTCTCACAGGCTCACACATACATACCCTCGTCTGCTGTCATCGTTTAATTGTCGGTGAGACAGCGACGCCATTAAAACATACCTTCTGACTTTGCCCCACTTTGTTAGAGGAAAACAAACAACGGGAACGGCAGATAACTACGGATAATCGAACGCTAGAGCTCATCGCCATCTCGCATACTACTACCACAACATGCCGCCCCGGAAGGGTAGTCCCAAGGTGAAGACGGGATGCCGGACATGCAAGTGGGTTTGTCTTTCCCTCAGTGGCTTGCTGGAATCAGATCCTTCGAAACCTTTATCTTATCCCTCAAATGGCAAAAAAGCTTGCTTAGGCCTTGGCTGACTCTGGGATGATAACTAACTAGGGCTCGAAAGGTTAAGTGCGACGAGACTAAGCCTAAATGCATGCGATGCACATCGAGTGGCCGGCAGTGCGCTGGCTACGAGCCGACGCTCGAACACGGCCTATCATGGTATCGGCCTCAGCAGCTGACCGCTCACGACCAACGTGAGGGCAGAGCCTTCCAGTTCTTTTCTCACATGATCGGGCCCGTCCTCTCGGGTCCGATGGACACGTACTTTTGGACGCACCTGGTTGTACAGTTTAGCCACTTTGAGCCCGCTGTACGTCATGCCGTCTTGGCCATCAGCTCCCTGTACGAAGATTTCCACGACGGCGCCCGCGTCACGAGACAGAAGCCCGGAAACGACTTTGCGCTGAGTCACTACAGCGCGGCTATCCAGAGAATCAAATCCGCGCAAGACGAGCAGCTCGTGTTGCTGGTGTGTATCCTCTTCATCTGCATCGAATATCTCCAGGGCGACGTCGAGGCCGCGCTCCGGCACTGCAAACACGGCATCATGATCCTAAACCGGGTGGGCTGCTCCTCGTGGGCACACGACTATCTTATGCCAATATTTCGGCGGTTGAGCTTTGCCTCCTTCTTCTTGGGGATGAAACCCTCCGCTGACGCTGCAGTGCCGGGTCTGTTGGGACTCGAAGTTCCGATACCGGACAAGATCGAGAGTTTGGGGGAAGCACAGAGCGCGATTGACGACTTGATGATCCACGCCATCCGGTTTGTGTCTGGCGAACCAACGGCTTTCGAGCGGCAGGATCTCGAGACACGATTAGGCCAGTTCCACGAGAAGCTTACCGAATTTGACGACTCTTTACCAGAGTCAGAATCGGCGGCAAAGGTTGCGATATGCAGCATGTTGATGAGATTTGAAATGGCCAAGATACAGATAGATACGATTGGTGGCAAGACGGAAACGAGATTCGACAAACATATCGAGGGTTTCCGCAGAACCATAGAGCTGGCAAGGCGAGCGTCACATTTGAGGAAGACGTATCCCGACGATCGGCCGCACGCCAGCTTCACGTTCGAGAGCGGTTTCCTGTCACCAATGTCCTTCGTTTCCAACAAATGCCGAGACCTGAAGTTGAGGCTGGAAGCATTGGATTACATGGTTGAGCTCTCCGCGCCGAAAGAAGGATTCACGGATGTTGGCACATTATACAGGATCGGGCGCCGAAGTATCGAGGTCGAGCACGGGATATCGTTGAACGACGGCACCATTGAAAAGGACCCCGTCGCGCTCGCCAAGTTCTCTTTCCCACCTGAGGAGAACAGAATGTTTGCCGCACCAATAGATCACGAGTTGTACGTGATCAAGAATGAGGATGGAACAACCACGTACCGGAGAAATGTATCATTTTTGATGAGGAACGCCGAGGGAACGGTCAATTCCAGGCAGGAGTACATCACGGATCAGATATCGGGACAGGTATCGCAAAATGTACCATGTATGAGGTGTGCAAAGTCAATGTAGCACTACTACGATAACGAATTAGATTCCCATTTGCTCTTCTTGGCAAGCCTGCAACTACTGGCCCAAGGAACAAACATGAACAAGGAACTTTGAGACTTGCATGCGTTTCCCGCGTTGGATCTAGGTAACATACACCTTCGGCATCCCGCATACCCCCTGGAGAGCTCCATAACCAGATCTGAGTCTATTTGACAGTGTCCCCATATGCTAAGATCGGTCAACGATCCACCAGAGGCATGCTTGTGAGGTGATTCTAGGTTTGGGTAGTTCTCGCCTAAGGTATTCCCCAGATTCGGTGCTTGCGTTTTTGAGCATGATTAGAGTATGAATCAACTTACGCGTGAAACACGCCGAGATTTTGGCCGAGCCAAAACTGCCTCGTTCGGAGATCAGACTCGTGCGAGCTTCGCCCTCCTGATGATGAACCAAGAGACTAGAAGAATACCACCTCCCCTTTAGAAACATCCCCCTTCGTGACACCTTCTGCAATGTCATCATCCGCCGTGGCCTAGCTGCCGGGAGGCTGGTGCCGCAGCTCCAGTCCAAAAGTGGCGATGGGGGTGATCCGAACGCCGCTAAAGCGGCACTTGCGCCGTGCCACACGTTCACAACACCCTCCTCCAAGCCTCCGGTCTTGCTCCACTGTGGGGCAAGACCGAGAGGAATAAAAGCCGGGCGATCGCCGGCTCGCTTTTGCTCCACGGCACTCCGGCCTTCGCCTCCCTACCAATGCGGCCTTTCCATCTTTTTGCTGCACAAGTTCAGCGTCGTACTGCCGTTTCGACCGACGCTCAAATTGACGAGATTCCAGGAGCGAAGCACTATGGACAACTCCGGGAAGATGGAAGGGAAGCTCGGCTTTTCCGTACGGCAGAGGGGACGAAAAGGGGCCCATCTAACAAACAATGGTCATATATCATGAAGGGAAGTTCCCCATAGAAGGCCCAACATGCGGTCGAAATCACGGGCACGCTCAATTCTATCTCTTGTCGTGGGTAAAGAAAGAGAATACGTTCCTTACTTAGAACGCTCGTCAACATGCCTTCCCCTATCTGGGCCCTCGCGGCCGCAGCCGCCCCGGCCTTCGTCAACGCCGCAACCCTCGCCGACGTCTGTACGACCACCCACGCGCAAGAGGCTCTCCCCGCGAGCGGCTTCATTCCCAGGATCACCATCGACGCGTCCTCTGTCGTGACCTCGGTCGTCAGCAACGCCTCCGTCTCCTCCGAGTGGTATCCCTCTGCCACCATCGAGTACTGCAACGTCACCTTTGCCTACTCCCACGACGGCCTCGCGGCGACAAAGTCCACGTAACATACTGGGTGCCCTCTCCCGACGCCTTCCAGAACCGCTACGTCTCGACTGGCGGCGGTGGCCTGGCCATCAACTCTGGAAGCCAGTACATTCCTACCGGAATCATTGTTGGTGCCGTCTCTGGTATCACTGATGGCGGCTTTGGAGACTTCAACACGCAATGGGATGCTGTCTTCCTCGCGGCCAACGGTACTGTGAACTGGCAGTCCGTTTACATGTTTGGATACCAGGCGCACAACGAGCTGGCGACGCTGGGCAAGGAGTTCACCAAGAAGTTCTACAGTGTTGCCGCGGACCAGAAGACCTACTCCCACTACCAAGGTTGCTCTGAGGGCGGCCGCGAGGGATGGAGTCAGGCTCAGCGTTTTGCGGACCAATTTGACGGTCTTACCATTGGCGCTCCTGCTTTCAGATGTAAGTCACAATACCAAGGGCTTCAGTTGATGTACGATGCTAACAAACGCCAAAGATGGACAGCAGCAGGTAAACCACTTGACGGCCAACGTCATGGAACAAACCCGAAACCAGCGCAGCCGCCAAAGCAACGCCAACAACGCAAAGTCCAACTAAGTCAAGCAAATGAAGCTATTCAGACCACCCAAATAAGTAAGCCAACCCCCCCGATTTGGGTTGGTTGATTTGACTCATGACTAAGGTACTCTGACCAATGAGCGTGCTGCATTTCAGTCTCCCTCTGTCACATACCTCACCCTCCATACTTCACCTACCAGCCTCTTCATCCCTTTACTGATTGGTGATTTCTTTCCTTGACCTTCGCTAACAATATAAGGCGTCGTTTTTCCCATTCATCTGGCTATATTTCTATCATCAGCTTCATCCAACTTTACCTTCCCAGCTCTCTACCATACATATAATTAAGGTAATATTTCCTTCTGTCTACTATACAGTCTACTAATGAGGCTATTCGTAGATGTCAGAGCCTCTCACTGCGACTGCCCTTACCAGATTAAGACAGCTACAAGCTAGGGTCTCAGACCAAGTTACCGCCAGTCGCGCCGTCACCCTCCCTTCGAATCCCTCCATCTCCGACCTTCAACCTATCATATGGGGGAATCGGCGATTCGTTGTTGAGGAGCAGCTGGCCCGTAAGGGTGGAAGAGGCCGTACAACTTGGGTACGGGCTTATGGAGTCTTCCTTATCGAACTCACACGCAACAACGAAGCTGGGCAAGCCTATTGGTGTTGCTATCGATGCGACGAAAAGGGGCGGCCTGAATTCTTCTCTGCAGTCGCCACCAGCTCTGCTCAGGAGCATCTACGTCGGTAAGTCTTTATTGTCGTGAAGCTATTCATAACTTACTAATCTTATAAAGGGTTCATCATATTAGCCCTTGTGACCCCATTGATGGGCATAGGGATGACCCCTCTTCCGACGAGACAGCCACACCACCCCCTTCACAACGTCCCCGCCTCACTACCTCGAGTATCCCTCGATCGAAGGTTGCTGTTATTAGGGATCTCGCCCTTGCTACGATTGTTGGTCAAGACCTTCCTTTCAACCACTTCGATGATACCTTCCTCCAGCGCCTACTTCGCTTCCACAACGTCGATCTATTCTCTCAGGTGCCATGGGGTAAAACTTCAATGGCTGACTACCTTGAGACTGTATGGAGTCGAGGCAGAGCAACAGTTAAGGCTGAGCTCCGCAATGCCTCTACAAGGATTCATCTCTCCTTTGACCTATGGACATCGCCGAATATTTATGCTTTTATGGCTATCACTGCTCACTTCCTTGACTCAAAAGGGAAGCATCAATCGCGCCTCCTCGCCTTCACTCAGCAACAAGGAAACCGCTCTGGTGTCAACCTTGCGACCACCCTTGAAAATACTGTGAGGGATTGGGGCTTAGTCAACCGTATTGGAGTGGTGATCTGCGATAACGCTACGAATAATGACACTTGCTTGGCCTCCTTCTACCCACGGATCAACCCTAGGATGACTTCACGTGACTGCAAAGCATATCGAATGCGTTGCTACGGTCACATCCTCAATCTTGTGGCCAAGTCCCTCCTCTTCGGCAGCGACTTTGAGACCTTTGAGGCTGAGTCGGAATTCTACCAGACAGTCCATCGCGATGAGGAAGATCTCAAACTTTGGAGGAAGACTGGGCCTGTGGGCAAGCTTCGGAACATCGTGAGATTCATCCGCGCCTCTCCACAACGGTCAGAACGCTTTAAGAAGATCGCAAAGGAGGTTGATAGCGGTTCTGATTACTGTCTCTTCACCAGAAGCTCGTCAGAGCTACAGTTAATCCTTAACAACGATACCAGGTGGAATTCAACCTACTTAATGATCGAGAGGGCAGTTGAGAAGAGGCATGAGATCCGGGCTTACCTTTCAGGTCTCAACGACGAGGAGGCCTCCCTCCAAATTCCTACCTCTGATCACTGAACGGATGAGGATTGGCTTGTTCTCGTTGAGGTTAAGAGCCTCCTAGAGCCCCTCTTTTTCCAGACAAAACGAACGGAGGGATGGGGCAAGGGAGACGGTCATGGACGCCTTTGGGAGGTGATTACTGGCATGGAATACATCCTTGAACACCTTGAGGAGTGGAAGAATTACTATAATCATGAGATTGCTCCTATTGTTGTACAGGAGGACGAGGAAGAGGAGGAAGATGAGGAGGAGGAGGACCGGCAACTCTCTACTCGCAACAGTCGCAGTCTGAGGTCGTCAGCTCGACGGCCCTTCAACGAGAGCTCTCTTCCGGATCACGTGGAGGTTGACTGGGCCCGGCGAAGGGCTGAAGCCACTTCGCAGTTCCGTCGCCTCCGGAAGGGGTACCAGGCGAATCTTCGGACCTCTATTGAGCTGGTTTGGCAGAAGCTGAACAAGTATTACTCAGCACTTGCTGAGTCACCCCTCTTTGCTGCTTCAATTATTCTCCACCCCTACTTTGGTTTCGATTACCTTAAGGAAGTATGGGGTAGAGATGGCCAAGAGGCATGGGTACGGAGTGCAGAAAAGGGGCTGGAGCGCTTCTTCAATAAGTGGTATCAGAACGACGATGTGTCAGTCTCATCACTAGCCTCCTCGTCAGCCCCATCTTCACACGAGGACAGCCACTTCAGACAGTGGCTGAGAAGTCGTCGCAGTCAGGAAGCAAGGGCGACGTCTGACGAGCTTAACTCATACCTCAGGCAAGCCCCAGAGGAGACGGATGACCCTGCGCGATGGTGGCTAGACCGTCAGGCTCAGTACCCTCGGTTGAGTAAATTAGCCCTTGACGTCTTTGCGATCCCAGCTATGGCGTCAGACTGTGAGCGAGCCTTCAGTGCAGCGAAATTAACGCTGACGTCGCAGAGGCTCTCGATGAAGCCAGAGAGTATAGAGCGACTACAACTGACGAAGAACTGGCTGAAGAGAGGGGTTCTACCTGTGTCAGGGATCGATGGATTCCTAGTTCATCCGTGATATCTAGAGAGACCTGTGAATAGCTTCAATTATTTCCTAATCAGGCAATACAAGCAGTCACGTGCCTTTGATTTGATGGATTTATCAACAAGGCCAAATAAGCAAGGATTTAGCGGCGATGAGGCAAATCAACAAATATTAGGGCCGATTTGCTTTGTTTGCTTTGGCGGCTGCGCTGCCCGAAACTACTTCCCTCCCACATGCGAACTCGAAAAGATCCTTAACATGACCATCGCCGCTTGCGATCCCCTCGATGGAAAAGCCGACGGCGTCATTGCCCGCTCTGACCTCTGCAAGAACACCTTTGACTTCAACACCACCGTCAGTCAAGCATACTCCTGCCCCGCCAAGGCTGCCAGCACCGGCCCTGGTTTCCCCACCCCGGCAAGCCCGGCCCAGAACGGCACCGTCACCGCCGACGCCGCCGCCCTGGTGAAGGAATACTACGACGGTCTCCACGACTCCACGGGCAAGCGCGTCTACCTCAACTACCAACCCGGTTCAGCCTTCTCCGAGGCCACTGCTTCCTTTGACGAGGCGACGCAGACCTGGGACCTGAGCATCTCCAGCCTCGGCGGCGAATGGGTAGCGCGCTACCTCCAGCTTCGTGACACCAGCGACCTCGGCAACCTCGCCAACGTCACCGCCGATACCCTCCGCGACTGGATGCTCTACGGCATGAACAAGTACGCCGACTCGTTGCAGACGACGCACCCGGACCTCAGCGGTATCCAGTCCGCCGGCGGCAAGATTCTTCACATCCACGGCGAGCAGGACGATTCTATCCCCGCCGCCTCGTCTGTGCACTACTACGAGTCTGTGAGGAGCATCATGTTCCCTGGTCAGAGCTTCAACGACAGTGGTGCCGCGATGGACGAGTTCTACAGGCTGTACCTCGTTCCCGGCGGCGCCCACTGCGGTGTCAACTCGAACCAGCCCGGTGGTGGATGGCCCCAGACTACGCTGCAGACTGTCATCGAGTGGGTTGAGAAGGATACCGCACCTGCGACTCTGAACAACACCGGCGTCGGTATCGACACGCTCTGCCGCTGGCCCATGCGGCCTTTGTGGTCTAACGACGGTGCCTCGTTCGATTGTATTTACGACCAGGCTTCTATTGACAGCTGGATGTACACTTTCGATGCCTTCAAGATGCCCGTCTACTAATCGGCTATTAGTCGATCTTTGACCAGGCTACTCCCCTGCTTGAGGCTCTAGTCTTTACGGGCTCGACAGCGAATATTCGCTGGCTTGGGGGAGGAGAGGCATATTTTGTACAAAGCTTAAGAAGTATTCATGTACATACTTGTTGTTTCTTAGAGACTAGCACATAGCCGACTAATATTGTCTACCTACCCAGTAGTGTCATTCAAAATCAAAGTTCCCGCACTGACGATACGACTTCTCTAAAATACTTAAAGTGAAGGAAGAAAGCTAAATCCAGTGTCCTGAATCATCGTCGGTCAAGGTGTAAACATTAGGCACCCCCAACATTGCCATCCATCCTAACTATTATTAAGTACTATTTCTCTCCAACCTCCTTCGCTTCTGTTGGGCAGCGATTATCAGGTAGGGGGTCAATGGGATGTATTGATGAGTATGAAGAACGAGTGGTTATGGGAATATCCCGACTATCTATATAGTGAGTGGAAGACCCTTTATACTGGCATATCCTTGGCAAACTTAGTCATGCTTGTGTAAGACCATATTGTTTCATAGGCATAGTGTGACAATCGTTGTAACGAGTGTACTGGGATGGGCCTGACAGCTTCATTTCACAATGTTTTTTCAATATGAATCTCATGCCATTCTGATTTCGCATCCGGTTTCTATTCCATCCTTCTGAATAGTCCCAGGGCATAGCTCTCTAAACCTCTCACAACCATACACCCGAGACTATCCGGATGCAGTCGGCCTTGCGAACGGTGATACTCTTCGCCCCCGAAATCCCGAACTTCGCCGATGCGACTCGACAAACTCTGTCACTCTGAAAAATTGTCTACTAGAAATGAGAAAACCTAGCTTAGATAGAGATCTACGGTCTCCGCAAACATTGGACCACACCGAATACCGTGACACGGACGGTTATGGCGGCACGAAACACTAACTACCCTAGCCAGGCCTAGGAAAGGAGACGTAAGAATAAGGCCTATGTAATAGTGGACTGCGGCGTGGAAAAAGCTATATACATCGGAGTCAATCCAGAGTCCACCTGTGCACCCGTGGGATCGCGCTTGGACTTGGAAAGCACCGCAGGCGTCATTGTCATGAGTCCTAGTCTGTGAGATGCTCTGTAGGACATGGCGGCTTGGGTCGCGTATCGCGATGCCAGTTGAGTTGACACCTTAAGACACACTCTAGCACAGACCTTGATTAGTCAAGTGAAGCTTGTATCAAATCTTCAGCGAGTAAATCAGCGCCTGTACTCCCGAGGATCGTCGGCGATCTCGATAGAACTAATGGCATCCTAGATCCTGTCCTAGGAAGATCCTTGCACCGGCAAACGATGATCGTAGATTCCCCGTTCGTCTGAAGGAGCTTTCAACAGGGAGATGGAACGTTGGAGAAGAGAGGGTAGCAACAGCTTTGACTTCAATCGGTCTTTCATAATGTTCTTGAAATGCTTCTATGAGAGTCGTTCGAGAGACTCTCGATTAGCCTCTTGCTCTCTAACGACGCCTTCATCATGGTTGCTGACGCCATTCATCAAGGACACGCTTGACTTCGCAAAGCAGCTCATGAATCCGGTGGCTGGCCTAATCACAGCGCATTTGAACTTCTCGTTACTACCTGCAACTCCCAAAACCCTCGGCAACTATGTTGCGACCATTGCCGTGATCGCAACTGTCGCAAACGTCACCACTATAGAGATGCGAGTTACGGTAACGTGCAGCGCAAGAGTAATGGGGAGTCGCACAGTAATGGCCTTATCACTAACAGTCATATCCCCCCTTACGCTCCTGGTAAGCTATTTATGAGGGAATATTTCATTATCATTTCATAAGTAGATATCGCAAAAAACGTCACAAAGGGGATATCACTCAAGCTCTCCCACCATCCTTGGTCGTCTCCTCCACAATAGACCACTTCGTTTCAATCGTAATCGCCTGCGCATTCCTTGGCAGCCTCTGCGTCGACTCCGTCTCCGAAATATCATCCTCATCCGTCCCGTTCGACCGCCTCAACTCCCCTCTCCCGATAACCGTCGTCGTGAAGTGCACATCGTTCTTGCCGTACATCATCTCGAGCGGAATGCCGTTGGTCAAGTCCTCCACCAGATGCTCGTGCTTGCACGACTGGCTGTTGCCGCCCAGCCGCGAGACGTACTCGTCCGTCTCGAAGCGGCGGTGCTTCCAAAAGTCCCAAAGCGGGAGGAGCATCGGGAGAGAGTTGCAGATGGTGAGGTTCGTTTCGAGGACCGTAAGGAAGGGTGCGACGGGCATGTTGCGGACGACTTGTGCTAAGCTGTAAACGTCCATCATGATGCGGAGTCTAACGATGGAGGCGATGATGGCACTATATCGTAAAATGTTAGACACCAGCTTTGATCCATTTATAGCACGGCTTTATCGACCGGCCGAGCTCGATAGAGGGGAACCATAACTCACATGAGATTCAACAAAAACACTCCACTAAGCCCCCACTGCGTCGACACGCTGACCTTCTTCAGGCTCCAAATCGTGTACAGCGGCACCAGCATGATGACAGTGTTGGTGATGCAGTTGAACAGCCCCGTCGAGAGGATGCTCGCCTCGTGTTCGCGGCAAATGTCCGGGTTCGTGGCCTGCCATTTGCCATTGCTGATGTGGCAGACCAGCAGGGTCTGGAGGATGTTGTCAACGCCCCATAGGATGACGATGAGGAATGTCATCTTGGTCGCCAGGCGCATGGCCGAGCTTGTGAAGACGCGGAGGTAGAAGAAGAGGACGCTGAGCTTCGTTGTCAGGCTGACAAAGCCGAAAATTGTGTCGGATGGGAGGAAGAGCTATAATTTCGCCACCATTGTTAGCAACTTTGAACACTTAAATGCCCAATATCTCATGGCAAGTGAGGTTGAACTGATAGACAACTCACAGAATCCAAAAACCTCCAGTTCGCCTCGACCTGCGAAAGCTCATATCCAAGACCAGCTGATGTCCCTGCAGCCAAGTATCAGCAAAACACATCCTCAAAACAACCAATCTCGAAGCCCTCATGGCCCAGTTCAGGAGCATGCTTACAAAGGCCTTGTATCACCAACAAGGCGATCCCTTGGGGAACAGCCAACAGCGTAAAGTAGTCATCCCATCCCAGCCTAGACCCCCCCAGCACACGAGAGACGACCCGCAGCGCAACCACAAACCCGTTATAAAGCCACCACCGAGTTGGCAATCAAATACGCCGAAGCCAGTGGCACAATAGGTATCTTGGTGTACTGCATGTGGGGAGAATTCCTCCGTCGTCGTCGGGATGTCGAAAAGGCGATCACGCATCGTCGGCCTGGTGAAGCTTTTCCTGGTGACCTTGGCGGAGTGCACCGAGCCGGGGGGGGAAAAGAGAACGAAACGAAAAGAAAGAAAAGACTTCCGAGAGATTGGGAGGGGCAGAGGGAAAGAGGACATACAGCCATGTTTAAACTCGAGATACTCCTCGCTTCTGGCTCACTTAAACCCGCTCTATCGCTCTCTCTCTTTCGCTCGCTTTTCCAACAAGCAGCCAAACAGGGATAAGGTCACATTGAGTTTCAACGCATGGGAAAACGCGCCTACGATTTTCGCTCGAACGGGCAATGACTCGCACTGGGGCGTGATTGTTCCCCCCCTCCCCCTGATCTCGCTTCCCCCGGGCTATATAGTGGGCACCTGACGATGCTGACTCGACTTGTTGACGAAAGGACCAGACATATCGTCGAGACTTGCCCAAAGACTGAAGAGAGAGAAACCCACGATGCTAGGAACGCAGTAGCCCGCACATCCACAACTCCGACGTAGGCGGCTTTCCCATTCGCCTCGCTTTCTGAGCCTTGTCTCCTTGTTCCCTCCCCTGGACTAGCGTTGTCCGGGGCCCTTCGCTAATACCGACAATGTCCATACCTAGACTCGCGAGACACGCCAGACTTTCCAACATCGAATCACATAAATCTTGCTGCCCCCTTGTTCGTCACATACCGGGGCACGCCAACGCTTTACAAGTTTGCTCCTAGTGAAGTTGCATCTGTCAAGGTCGCTTAGGTCTTGGTAAAGCCGCCCCTGGTACGGAAACCTATGCGGCATACCGGGATAGTTAAGAATTTTGGCTCTCAACGCGGCACTTGATTGCTGCGCATCCAAACCCAAGAGAGGCGAACTGCGGGATGTGGTGGATCTTCCCGGATGTCACACGTGGGCGCAAAGTTGCAATCGGAACCTTCGACCATTAAGCGTCGAGAAGGAGTACCCGTTCGGATACACACATTCGAATGCTAAGGACATGGGAGATAGTCTTGAAGGAGTTGCTTTCAGAGCTATCGCTAAAGATGAGTACGTAATTCTTTCCCGAACAAAGTCGAAACCCGGGCGAGTAAACTACAGATCGCGAGTCAAGCCTCGGAAGCGGCACGTCGATCGACAGCAATCTCACCAAAGACACAAGACCTCAAGTGTCCGCGGATCCTCACCTGAATGTGGGAATTTTTAAACTCCATCCTACGGGATGCCGCAGGAAATGATTAGATGCCTGAGCGCTGAGGTGAGCCCAGCTGCTTGGTCCCAAAGAGCAAATTCAATTCAGTTGCGGATACCATTATCACCAGTGAGCAACCCCCCACTCTGACCCTTGCTAATAGGGCGCTAGTTGGTTGCAAAATAGAATGGCTGCGCTATTAAGGTTAATTACGTCTAACAACCTAGGGGCTTCGAGCGGGTCTGGCTTTCGTCAACACTAATAACCAGCGTTCGCTCGCCTTGCCTAAACCGGATAGAGAGTGCCGGAGATGGACCAACGTCCTTCCTCTTCAAGTTACATGACGATAAGGTTTGAAGGTGCGTTGCAATCGGGAGACTACAGAGAGAATCCTAGTATTGAAGAACTAGAGAGACTGACTTTGATTGGGGATAACTAGTTTGACAAGTTGTTGTAAAAAGACAATGGCATTTGACGAGTTCTTTGACGAGACCCAGGCTCGGTAACTAAGCTTTGTGTGTGTTCTCTCTTTGTTGACGCAACGATTGCAAAGAGCGCATAATTCCTCTAACAATGGGTTTACCTATTCTTGGCGTAGGTTGCGTCGCCAAAGAGCACACAACAGAGTAGATGTGCTGAACAACCTGGAGCAGTAGAGCTATTCAACTTGAGGAAGCAAAGAAAGCCATGGGACTAGAGCCTGTGTACAAGAAAGCCATCAATTTCTATTGTTTATAAAAGACCAGATGTATCCAATTGTCTGAACTTTTCGTCAACCTTAGCTCCTCGCACTCATCAGGTAGTCGAATACTAGATGCCTAATTTGAGCAGCAACTCGCAAGGTAAGAGACACAACCCCATCACCAAACTAACATCCTCTTTAGACAACCATCAAGATCAATCATGTCCTCACCACTAACACCACCAACGCCATCCTCCAGCTTCCCTCCCCGAGGTATAACAGCCTACACCTCAACCTCAGGTCCAATCCACGCTCTCAGCCTCGAATTCCTCAACCACCTCCGTGCCCGCCCAGACTACGAATCCTGCATGCCTACCCTGACCTCCCCCGAACTCGCAACAGATTGGGACGCCCACTACCTCCTCTCAAACCCCTACCAAAATCCACCGACACCCGACTCCATAGCTAACCCCCTTCGGGTCTCCCAGACCGAAATCCACACAACATGGGACTCATATAAACTCGCCGCCATGATTAGACGAACCCATCAAGACCTAAACATCCTCAGACACACGATTGGGGAAGTTCGTAGGGAGACGTACGACGTAGACCGCGTCCTCGACGACGCGCAGCGAAAGCAGAATGGGGGCCGATACCCGGATTTCTGGACGAGTTCTTCCTCCTTCTCTTCCAGAAGTGCATGGGATAGCGATGACTATCGTCATCATCGGGTAATGTCCACTAGGGACATTACCCCTTCCTGGGAGCACAGGGTCCACCCAGCATGGGACGTATACAAGCTCTGCGAGGTCTTTTCCAGTGTCCAGGCTGACATCGGGAAACTTGTAGGTCGACTTGCTGATGCGGAGACAGAATTGCGTCGCAAAGTGTTACTACTTGACAGAGTGTCATAAAGGCGTCGGGCGTGATGAGTCCAGAGCAGGTAGGTTCTCTATCGAAGAGACAAGGGAGGTAAGCTTCAAAATTTAAGAGTGGCGATAGTAGTGACCAAGTTACCTCAAAGGGGCATCGATTTAAGCACAGATTCAGGGACGGCAGAGCTGCTTAGGTAGGGAGCATGAGTAGAGAACAATTTAAATTTGCTAGGCTTCCCGTCCATGAGACAGAAGCTGGCCTCATACGCCTTAATACTGGCCAACCATGGTATCTATGTGCCCTGAGCAAAATGTGGTATCATAATCTCGTGTGACCTGAGCAAAGTAACTCCGTGAGCTTTTCCATCCGATGAATCATGATTCCTGTTAATATCCCGGATACCATTTGTAACGGTGCCTAGCCATGTCGCTCTTCATCATTAGACATGCTCGGGCCGCTTCGTTCCAGTAACGCCAACCAAATGCCACCTTCTCAAATCAGTCGGGCATCTCCTTCAATCACTATCATCCGACGACGATGAACCCGCATCCCAGTCCATATCGAGGAGGTCCAAGATACTAGGATGGGGTTCACCGCAACAAGGACAGATACCAAGCTCGTCATCGTCGCCCATCATGTCCTCAATGTCCTCCATGGGATAGCCACTACTGCGGCAGAACTCAGTCCACTGGCGGTCGTCGTCACTGCTATGATCACGGGACTTGGGAACTTTCTTCCAGATCGTCAAATCCCGGCGACTGGGTGCAGACTTGGGATGACCTGGCTCTCGAGGAGCAGGAGGCATGATAGGCTCAGTGGGATGGGTGTGGAGTTCCGGATCAGAGTCAGAGTCATCATCCTCATCATCAGAATACCCAACAGGCGGGTACAGTTCAGGGAAATCCGATCCCTTCTTTTCCCTTACCGTCTTCCAAGCCCGAACAACACGCGCGCAGCTCGAGATGCCCGGCAGAGGCTTCAGGGAGTTCTTGACTTGAACAAATGAAGGCAAGCCAGCAAGGAAGAGGCCCTCGTCCCGCAGGAGCCCAGTAAGCTCTGCGGTGACCTTGCTACCAGAATCGTCTATCGGAAGACCGGTGACTTGCAACTCGTTCAGAGAGCATCCGAGTTCGTGGGATGCGATATCGTGCATGTCGCTGCCAGGCATGGGGAGAAAGTCGTCGAGGAAGTTTACTAAGTCAATTCTGAGCGAGTCAAGACCGGGGAGCAGCTTGGGGCGAACCAGCTTCCTGTCATGCTTGGGATCGAAGGGAGGGCGGAGAGCACGCAGGAAATCCGTCACTTGACCCCAGGTGTAGGCGCGGAAGCCGCCACGGGCATAGCTTCGTTCCTTCACTCGAGGAATCGTCCGCAGTATGATATCGCTCTTGAGGGAGGGGTGGTAGGATCGCTCGAGCTTGTGTTTTCGCTTCTTATCGTCGTAGAACTGAGCGACGATGCGAAAGTTGACATGCTTGATGTCCTTTCGGAATCCAAAGTCCAACTCGGCAAAGTTCTTGACAGCTTGCGGAGTTGTGAAGGTGAAAGTGTTCTGGCTCCAGAACATGCGGCTGCCTTCGTCGTGCATCGCCTTGCATGTCGCCAAAAAATGGATGGCGACTTGATTACCGCGGCTTTTCTCCTCGGCCGTGAGGTTCTCGCGCGTGAGTTTCGACAAAGGGTCGATAATCGTGTCCTTCGAAGTCATTGAGTAGTTGAGAATGCGCAGCAGGACTTCTGTCGGAATGTATGGAAAGGAGCGAGTTCCTGAGGAAAGAGCTTGCTTCCGCCTGGCACCACTCTTGAGGTTCTGGTAGTTGGCGGATATAGGGGACCAAGAGATGCCATTTTCTCGGAGCAGCTTCTTCAGTTTCGCATTTTCCTCGGCGAGAGCCTTATTCGAGGACCTGAGAGGTTGGTTGTAGTAGGCTTTGGCCTGATCCTCCACATCACGGCACTCCCATGGGATGATCTCCTGCTTGTTGGTTAGCGTGCAACAAAAGAGTAGAAAATAACAGATAAACACACCGATTCTCGGTGCGCCATGGTGATAAGTTGAGCTGCAGAGCCAGGCGATGTTGCGAATTAGGAGGATTCGTCGGCCTCGCGAAAGGTACGAATCAGTCGTGACCAGTCGAGGCAGATTATGTTAGTGAACTCGAAAAGTTACTGCGTCGGTTCGGAATTGGTCAATTCTCGTTGCTGGACGAGTGGATAATGTGCAGAACTTTAGGTCCAGGCAAAATCGTCGATCAAGGCTCGAAGAGACAACACCACTAATTAGGCGGGTTGAACCTTGACGTTGGCGACGCAGGGTACAGCAGTTGATCGGGGTGAGTTGAGCGACCCTTCGATGCGACCCGCGAATGGAGAAAAAATGAAAAGTGAAACGAAGGTTTGAAGGAAAGAAAGAGATGTGGTTCGGGCGTTCGTCCTGACGTTATGGGAGGGGCCGAAATAAAAGTCAGAATGACGAGAGTCAGCTAAGCCGACAACCGGATGTCGGTCGGGTGAAGAAATTGGCGGGAATGGTGAGTAAGGAAGAAATTCCCAAGCGGCCGAGTCGTGGTTGATAAGTCGGCAGTGACGGATGACGATGTCCTGATGAGGGAGTCCTGGCCGTGGTCGGGTCGGGCTGTCGAGTCGTTGAAGAGGTTAATCACTAGCGTATCCCGTCGAAAGGTGATAAAAGCTCGCAGCTGAGTCGAGTCGGGAATTGTCCGTCGATTTTATGCGTCGTCAACTGGCCCGCGCGGGTTCGCTTAATTCGGAGAGGCCTCGGGGCCTAGGAGGATAAAGGCAGACTGAAGTGAATCACTCTATCTGTGCCTGATGTCGTTCATCAGTGAAGAATGGATTGTGCGTAGGTGAAGGAAGGAGGGAAAAGGGGCGGGGGAGGGTTGATGTTGAAGGGAGCAATCACGAGGAAAAAAAAAAAGGGTAAGAGATGAGAGATGACGAGGGGGGGTAATGTGAAGCGACGCCGCTGGGAGAGGTGGCAGATCTGCGCGTGGGCGAGGGAAAGTGGACGGGACGGGGATGAGGCAGGTGAGGACTGGACTCTTTTGGTCAGTGGTGGAGTGCGGGTGGGCGACGACCAGTGGCAGCAAGAAGCGCCGACCTTTTTTTTTTGTTCTTCTTTCCCTCTCCGCTTGGCTACGGTGAATGGTGGATTGTCTGCCTTCCAGGTCGTGCTTACCTTATTACCTACTAAGGTGAGGTAGGGAAGGTGCCTGCTCCCACGTTCGGCAGGCAAGCGACGTTGCGCCGTCTCAGACTCTTCAGCTTTGACGGTGCCGATGTCCGCCGAAACCCCGACGTGAGCTTCTTTGCAGGAAGGCACGCCGCAGACCGCATCTGCTTCTTTCCTGCCAGGCGAGTACCTCACCTAATCTTCAGACCACGGGACTGACTTGACTGCCTGCAGGCACTGGGTTCGGGGAGCAATCGTTCGATGTGAGATACGTGTCTTAGACTCTTAATTCCCCAGGCAGGTAGTCACTGCGGAGAAACGAGGTTGAGGTGGGATGGGGTTGCAATGCTGGCACCTGCTGTAGGCGAATATGTTTAACCACGGCAGGAGTTGTTGCATCTGACGAGGGAAAGTGCTGAACGGAACGGGAACGGTTGTATCTTTCCTGGACGGGAGACACACACAGCAACTGCCACGACACACGAGACACTGGGCGAGGCAATTGGCTGGCAGAAGTGTGGATTAGTGGGGCGTTCTGCGACTGCCCGGCGATTACTCGCAGATTGGATGCATTAATTGCAGATTTCCATGAGCAGTTGGATGGACAAGATGACGATGCTTTTTTGGAAGATGAGGGAAAGAACCACAGAACGAAGCAGCGATGGGAAGGAACGGTAAGGGCAGGGGGGGCATGGCGTGCACAGGGGTAGATAGATACCTTAGGTAGGTGGTAGGTAGCTTCCGAATCTGCTCTGGGCTCTTGGAGTCAATTGCAGTTGGGTGGAAACTCTAAAGGTCAGACGTTCAGCAATCGAAGATGAGAATCGCTTCTTTGGTGGAATCATCCCCGCCGAACAGCTATTGGATGGATGTGCTTTATCAATCTGTTCAAACCCAGCCCACTGAAAGAACAAGCGCCTAACGTGAGCAAACGTGGCTGTCTAGGTTTCCATCTCGACCTAATGTATGTCTTGGATTGATCCCGATCTGGACTTACACCGCAAGACCAAACGAGGGCAGCCGCAGTCTGCAGTGCAGCATACGAGGTATCATGCAATATCCCATATGAAAGTAAACAGAGTGCATTCATGAGATGACTACCCACCTTACGCGAAGGTGCGGTGCGTTATGCAAGGCAAGAGGTAGGTGTCGAACGAATTTTCCGTGCCTAGGTACTCACATAAGGAGGCAAGTACGGATACCCCGTTGTAGCTTCCCGAGCCGCATCGCGATCGCTGTTTGGTGGCAGCATCGGGCCCGTCAGTCACGACATGGTGAGAGTTGCCGACAGTCTGATCCTCTAAATCACAAAACTCTTACCCCAGATATTCGGAGCAACCACTAATCATTTCTCCTCTGTCTTTCCGTGGCTGTCAATGCCTTCAGCCTTTTTGTCTGTGCATCTCCCAGCTGTATCGCGACTAGGACTGTGGAGTATAAAACGACACACAGACCCGCGACAGCTGACGCCGCTGGCACAAGTCGCAATCAAAAGTCTAAACCGAAGCTCGGATTGTCCTTCTTGTCTGGGCATTCCAGTCCTACAACCTCAATTGGGATAATACCTCCGTAAGTGAAGCTCTTTTCGTCGACCATGGAACTCACGTATTCAATAACCTGATGGTAAATGTTACTACACCCTACCTTATGCAACAGCCTCCGACAGAGCAAGCACCCCGCGCCCAATGTCGGTCGGCATCAACACAGCTCCGTCAACGCAAACAAGCCGATCAATGATGAATTTGTCCCCATAAAACGCGTCGTCCATCCAGACTCCCATGGAGCTACCTACCCAGCTACACCTCCCTCATGCTACCTCATGCTACCCCATCTTGCCCATATGCCCGTCGAGCCACTGCGGGCTGGCCCCTTCTACTGTAGGCAGGAACGCCATCTGTCCCTCCGCTCTTGACGTCATGATGTCTCGCCCATGTACGGCTCTGCAGCTCAAGCTCCCTCAGCTCCGCGCGACCGACACTGCGACCCGTGGTCACTCGGCCGTCGCTCGGTCACTAGTTAACCACCTCACCTTAGGTAATTGCCTTGAGACCTTTCCCAATGTGCTTTTTTCGATGATGAAATCGGTCGTGCCTGGCTGCACGTAGCTACAGTAATGAGGTCAGCTCGCCTGAGGGGCCGCCCTAGATAGGAGGGGGTTCAAATACTCCTTCTACAAGAACCTCCCCTCGTGCAATTCAATGTCTACTCCCGTACTCTTCTCACGATCCATCATTCGGACTTTTCAGCTCAATCGACGCGTTCAATCCTACTCACGACTAATAAATCTTCCCAAAACTACCAACACACTCCCAAGAACCCCATTCATCATGTCTTTCTCAAACACCTCCACTGGCAGCAAGCCTGCCGACCCCTACAAGGCGACCAACAAGGACAACGATGTCTCCGTCAAGGAAAAGGTCGAGGCATTCGTCAGCTTTGCCGACAAGACAAAGTTCGCCATGATGACCACCAGAGACGCAAAGTCTGGCGCCCTCGTCTCTCGCGCCATGGCCCTCGCCGCAACGGTTCGTTTTCTTCCCTAGCACCCCAATTCCCCCCTTGCAAGCTCTCCCTCCCTAACATTTCGTCCAGGAAAACGGTGGCATTGACCTGCTTTTCCACACGAACACCGAGTCCAACAAGACGGATGAGATTGACAGCGATCCTCACATCAACATCTCCTTCATCAACAGCTCAGGCGACTGGGCCTCCGTCTCTGGTGTCTCTAGCGTCATCACCGACCGCGCGCTGGTGAAGAAGCACTACAGCTCTACCCTCAAGGCGTGGCTCGGTGACCTCGGTGATGGCACCCACGACGGCTCTGAGAACGATCCCCGCATCGGCATCATCCGCGTCAAGACTGTCAGCATCACCTACGCCCTCAGCAACGCCACCTTCATCGGCAAGGTTGCTCAGCTGGCCGAGGGCGTCGTAACCGGCAGCCCCGCAAAGGTGAACAAGTTGAGAGAGGTCTCTTCCCAGGAGGTCGAGCAGTACCGCTCCGCTTCCTCTTGAGCTGAGAGGCGGGACAGAGAGAGTTGTAATGGCGGTTGCATGTAAGAATAGCACAAATTAGATGAAGGTTATTGGGGGAATATGCCACAAGACCCCGACCATTCACGGGATATGAATGACGATTATTGCTTCCCATAATCCGCAGCCCAGCTCTTGTCAAACGTTTCCTTGTTCACCGCGAATTCACGAATGTAGTCGCGTTCCAGTTCATGTGCTCTCCTTCCGAGGAGAACCATGCTGTGAAGCGGGCCACCCAAGATCTCATCCGTATCGCAGAGCTCCTTCAGCGTGCCGGCAACATACTTCTCAGTCTTGCCTCCCACACGCGCCGCCCCGATAGCCAAGCTATCAGCCGTATACACGCCCCCCTTCTTCTTCTCTTCAATCTCGAGCATCTGCGCAGCACACTGGCCAACAGTCATGTACCTCGGCGGCTGGTACACCCTCCTTCCCCTCGCCATATCCTCGAGACTCTGCTCCTTGACCTTGATATCGAGCAGCAAGAGCGTGTGCAGACCGATATCGCGGTTCTCTTTGATGCGGTCGTAGAACGAAGCCGGCTTCCAGGTGTCGGTGAAGAAGACCATGGAGACGGTTTGGCCAAAGTTGTAGAGCTGCAGCCCTGTGGCGCCGATGCCGGACATGATGGAGGCATTGGGGACGGTGGCGACGGGGATTTCGAGCTCGCGGGCGCGAAGGACGAGGTCGGTGTGTGTTGTCGCGCCAAAGGGGTCGCCGACGACGCAGAAGGCTACGTCTTGGGTTTGGGCGTCGCGGAGGATTTCGTCGCTGTTGGATTCGACCATTTCGCGGTCTGCTACTACGATTTCGCGGCCATAGTAGGCTTCCTAGTTGACGTGAGTATTAGAGAAGCTCGTGATAGCAGGAATAATCTGACAAGACGGAGGGTTCGGGAAGGGGGGCAGGTACCAAGACGGCCTTGTCGACTAGGAGGATGCTCGTGTAGGCTTCCAGGTAGACTCTAGCGGCCTTCTTTACGACTTCGAGGCCCTTGACTGTGATGTCGGTCTCGTCCGAGAGACCCAGCCCTACGAGGTACAGCATTTTGAAGGTGCGTTCTTCGTTTGTTATACAACGATGGTGGTGTCTTCTGGAGTATTGAGTCGGGGGAAGTCGGTCAATGACTATAAAAGTTCGTGGCGGTTAGGCGTAACTTTTTTCTTCCACACCTTGGAGGGGGAATTCGATGGAGGGGTAGGCATCTTTTTTTTCTTCTTCTTACCTAGCGCTACAACCCCACCATCGCACCCCCTGGACCCTGTCTCGCCTGGCCCCTCCCAATTCTGGTCACCAACCCCTGCAGCCTCATCCGACCCCAGCTCCGGCTCCCAGGCATTAAATTTCATCATCGAACGCGTCTGGCCGAGCTCCGTATCCATCCACCCATTGCCCGTCACATCTTCTGCGGAACACACGACACTCAACGCCAGTATCCTCGACATTACCCTCCTCTCTTCCCATCGCGAGAAGTTTCCGAGAAAGAATACCATCACAACACAAACCCCTCGAAACCCAACAATGGCCGACAAGAAAGCAAGCGCCTACGGCGCGCCCTCAGGCGACACCGACTTCCGCAAGACCTACGACCTAGACGAATACGCAGCCAAAGCCAAAGATCGCGAAGCCAAAGAGAAAGAAGAAGCCAAAGCCCGCTACGAAGCCAAGCTCGCGGGCAAGAAATACTACAAGCCCCTGACGGGCGACGAGACCCTCACGCAGGCGCGGCGCAACGTCCTAGACCTCAGCGCGCAGGTCGGCAAGACGCAGCTCGTCCCCGCGGGCGCGGGCGTGGGCAAGAGAGGGAGAGGTGCCGGGTTCTACTGCGAGCCGTGCGATCTCACGTTCAAGGATAACAAGCAGTTTGTGGAGCATTTGAATACGCCGCAGCACTTGGCCAACACTGGACAAAAGACCGAGGTCAAGAGGGCGACGGCTGAGGAGGTGAGGGATAGGATTGAGTGGCATTGGCAGAGGAAGCTGGATTTGGAAAAGGAGAAGGTGACGAGTCTGCAGGATAGGCTTGCGTTGCGGGAGGAGGAGAATGCGAAGGAGGCAGAGGAGAAGAGGAAGAAGAGGAAGGAGGCGGATGAGAGGAGGAGGGCTGGACGGGAGGCGGCGGAAAAGGTGAAGACGGAGTATGGGGGTGATGTGAGGATTGAGGGGGAGCATGATGAGGATGATATGATGGCTGCGATGGGGATTACGGGTTTTGGGGGGGCGAAGAAGAAGTAAGCTGTGCTGCGAGAGGCTGGCGATTCCGAGAGCTGTACGATGAGCAGGACGCGAGAAATGATACCCTTGTTTGGCAACACGATGAGGAGAAAGATCCCGATATTCGAGGAGTTTCAATGGGCGTGCGAAAACACGAATTGACTCGAGGCGGTACGTCGGTTCTACAGCAAGTCTCAGCTGTCCCCGACCATGGTATTGAGAATCGGCGGTCGCCATTCCTTCACCGAGGTCATTACGGTGTGTCTCGGTGAGTTGACCGAAGTTAGCCCCTCAGACAACGGCACCTCGAACCCCTGCACCTCGCGGGTAACCCCACCTTCGCATTGGCTCCGATTTCGAAGACCTCATCCCGCGGTCGGGTTTGTTTGCCGCCTTCAGCAACCTCTCTACGCTGGACAATACCAGTCCTTTCTTCTTGCTCAACAACGAACTCGAGCCAACAAAGCCGGCGCTCGAACAGCTGCGTTGGTTCCTTCTCAAGACACCTCAGTTAAAGCTGCATTGACATTACTTAACGAACGTTACTTCTCGAACACCATTCCTCAGCTTTCCCTCAATCATTCGTTCCTGCCATCTCAAAGCGCAAAGGACTTGAGACTCAATTTCGGTGTTACCGTCGATCCACCCTTACCACCCGAAACATACACACATACATACACACGCACAGCTACTAGGATACACAGATCAGAGCTTTGCGGCACCATGGCATCGTCTTCTGCAGCGGCGGCGTCGCTGCTGGGTCGGCAGCTCAAGGAGATGCAAACGGGAAAGGACATTCCCGGCATCTCATGCGGTCTGGTCAATGACAACAGCATCTTCGAGTGGGAGGTGATGCTCATGATCAGCGACGACTGCAAGTACTACGGAGGTATGTTCCCTTCCTTCAATTCCTGCTTATGGCAGGATCAGCCCAGTTGAAGCTTACCCTCCCCTGCTCTCTCCACCTCTAAACCCGCAAGTCCTTCCTGCGCGCAATAGCTAACATACTTCTCTCCAATATAGGAGGCAACTTCCGCGCCAGGCTCACCTTCCCGGCAAACTACCCCCTCATGCCACCCTCTCTAACCTTCCAGACGCCCATCCCCTTCCACCCAAACATCTACCCGGACGGCCGGCTCTGCATCTCGATCCTGCACCCGCCCGAGGAGGACCAGTACGGCTACGAGGCGGCCTCGGAGCGATGGAGTCCCGTCCAGAGCCCCGAGACGATCCTGCTCAGCACCATCAGCCTCTTCCACGGGCCCAACGACGAGTCGCCCGCCAACGTCGAGGCTGCGCGCATGTTTCGCGAGGAGCGGGAGGGCAAGAATAAGGATTTTCGGAGACGGTGTCGGGCTTGTGTTAGGGAGAGCTTAGGGGAGGATTGAGGGGAGGACTTGGGGAGACTGTTCTTCTGCCGTTGAGCCCTGGGCTTGACGGGAGCCATGGGGATGGCCAGGATTGGAGAGTGGATTTGGTCCGTCTTGCAAAGGTGGAGAGGGTGATTTTGACGAGACATGGTCGCATCAAGGGCGGAATTGGACGAGGGACCTGCATCATGGCGTTTGGAGATATCTACAGCATTGAAGCAGGCTGGGCTGGCATTCAAATTGACGCCTTTTTAGTTCTGAATGATGTTTGCAGGCGCAGCTGTGGCTAGTGGCACAAACAAATCTTCTTCCAAGTCGGTTGTGAACCACAACTCCCAGTTGGTGAACGGAAAGGTCAAGTGCTTTGTATGGATGGGTTTGTGTTCTATGATCATTGCCATCCCCTTCGGCTTCGAGCAACACTTTCTTGTTGCCCTT